AATTATAGCCTCTAGTTTATTTTTCCATTTGTTCTAAATGATCTTTGTCTTGAATATATGTGAAACTCGACCCTCTTTCTGATTATTAATATGAAGTCCGTCCACTTAGAGGAAAGAGATTTCTTTAAACACCCTCCCTGTTCTTACCACAGATTTCTCCTCGTTAATCAGTGAAGAAACAGGAAAACGGAGAGCGGTGCGGTGTACGCAACCAGAAAAGAAAAGCACACCAAAGAGATGTCCCCACTGCGTGTCTCATACTATCATATGTCTCCAGACCTAATGGGTCATGCTGCTATCGGCTCCATCACGACTCGGCTTCCTCTCTAAGGAGAGGCACGCACAAACATGAGCAACTCAAAGCAAGAAAAAAAGTGAACGAAGGAGACGTTAATCTGAAATTCACAGCTTGGTGTGGAGTTAATTGTGTAAAAATGTTTAGAGGACTTTCTACACACTTTGTAACGCTCACCGACCCACCAACAGACACGAGGGTTAGCAGATGACATCAGCTGAAAACCCAGAGGAAATCAAATGAAACTCAAGCTCCAGAACCCCTCCCTGTTTAAGAGTATTTAACAAGAGGGGCTGCATGTGCACAGCTGTCCTCACACCTGCCACCATATGCTTTTAAATCACATCATCCTCAGTTATAAGGCAGACTACAACCCTTAGTTCTGCACTGAGCTACATTATGCTAGGGTTTTGGTTTTTTCCATTCCTCTTTTCGTGCGCTGAAGAAGACCAAACACATTTCCTGGCCTTAAAACGGCCATCAAGAAAAAGTGAAGTGAAACCAGTGTTGTAAGTTAGCAGGATTTCCTTCACACTCCACTCCGATAAAGACGCCGAGTGGGGAAGTGCTCATATATAAAAAATAAAAAAAACACTTAAAGGGCGTGTAATTAAATACAGGTAGTTTGAGCCCGATAAGAGCAATAATGTCAGGTCTACAAACATTTCTCATCTCAGCATGAGTGGCATGAGCTGCAAAATGTTCTGCAATCATCTCGCCTGTTGTTCCTCTTAGACCAGCAGCTCATTGGTGATATGCAGTGATGGTCAATCAGGTCGTCTGGAAAGTTTATTTTTTGTGGAAAGACGTTTCACCCTCTGTCTAAAAAGAAACCGTCCAGATGACCTGATTGACCATTATTGGATTTTGTACCTGGATGACTGCGCATGAACTTTGACGATTGGTGACATGATTCTCCAAGATTTCCCCCCCTTCTTACCTTGTGGCATTTTGCAATTATTTAACCAGCACACCTACAATTAGGGTCACATCACTTAGAAAAATCTCACAGTGCAAACTCAAAGCTGTTTTTCAGATTTTGACTGTAATGGGATTATAAAGGCGGCATGTCCAGGCTTTAATTTCAGTAAAGTCGCTGCTAATGACAAGAAAAAATACAGAAAAATACTTTGTCTGCCTGTGGAAATTAATGTTGAGCACAACTTTATCAGTTGGGAAGCTGACTTTGGTAAAAGGGTTGAAAAATAATGTTAGTTCATGAGTCTTGATGCATTTAACTAAAAACGGAGCACAAGAATCAAATGATTAATTATTCATAATGTACTGTGGAGCTGCTCTCACCAAGCCACAGAGCCACAAGCAGATTGACTGTGGTTGGTTTTAACTTACATTTGTTTCCTCCATATTTGTTTTTAATCAATGAGTTTCTTTGTCTATAAACTACATATTTGGTTGTTTATAAATTGATTTTAGCCAACATCAAAAAAAAAAAAAAAACCTCTGAAAGACTAGATTTTTTTAAAGTATTTGAAACCAATACTCTTTAAGCTTTACATTGATAAATAACTCAATTTCAGTCTGGAAAAAGAACATTTTAATTTATTGACATTTTAAATGACACCAATGCAGCTACTGTCCAAAACTGCAACTTAGCTTGAGAAGCTATGCAAAGAAAACCTGCCAACATTTTAATGCACAAATTATGTACGAAACTAAGATAAAAACAAACATTAAAGCTACTGCCAATGGCTCGTTTTGGTCGCCAAGGTAACCGCACCCATGTGTCTCTCACTCAGAGGCAGACAGACCTGCAAACTAAAAAGTAAGCCTCAAATAACGTTTCTGCAAAATCTATGACATATCTTAACAATTCTTGACCCATAAGCAGCAGAAGGCTTCAATACATGACAATTCTGAAATGCATGAGACTACAGTGTCAGCAGTTAAATGACAAAGCTAAAAAGACCATTCACGTCCATTTTTAATCAGAATATTTTGAGCTAAAAAACACCTGAAGTATTTGTAATGGGAGAAGAATGGGTCTTTCACTAATGGGAGATTTGAGAAAGGAAACAAAAAGTTTTTAAGAAGTGAGAGACACACTCTATGACAGAAGACACAAATATCTATGTTTTAATTTATGTAGCAAAATTAATTGTGAAAGTAAGGAGTGTTTGCAAAAGGCAGCCTATGTGACAACATCCACAATCAGTGAACTGTTCTTTGAGGGAAGAAACAAAATACATACAACTTAAAGTGCAATTGTGTAAAAACAGATACAAATATCATAATGTCACTTCTGTCATTTAAAGACCAACCTTCTGTCACCTGTTCAGACTTTGAATGAAGTTTCTATTGTGAAGTATGTCTGAGACATAAACCTCCAAATAGGAAAGGATTTTCTCATGTTTCACCAAAAACCCGTTGATTGTTACTTTTGTGTTTGCAGATTTTGGCAAGTTCTGCCACAACGTGCAACATGATTCAGACTATTACCAATAGAGATGGGGTATAATTTGTATGACTTACTTCAAAGCTCAGTCGTGACCAAAACTTTTGAGAATGGCACAAATTTTGGTTTTCACAAAAATTGTAGCCTTCGGTTAAGCAAAGACATATTTACAATGTTGGCCCTTCTTCTTTAAGACTTCTGCAGTTTGCCTCAGCGTAACTGGATATCAGCTTCTGGGCATAATCTTGAGTGATGGCAACACATTCTTGCCTAAATAGTGATTCATTTGTTGATTATTAGTTAATTATCAATTAGTTGATCAGAGCTTTTGGTTCTTTTCCATCCTTAATATGAGGATTGACCACAGGTTCTCAATGGGATTGAGATCTGCCATGGACCCAAAATGTCAATGTTTTGCTCACCGAGCCACTTGGTTTTCACTTTTGTCTTTGGGCATGGTGCTCCATGCTGGAGAAACTATTGTTCCAAATTGCTCCTGGGTCATTGGGAGAAGTTTCTCTTCGGGGGTGTTTTGACACCACTCATTCATGGCAGTGTTCTTAGGCAAAAGTTTGAGCGAACCCACTCCCTTGGATGAGAAGCAACCCCACACATGAAGTGTCTTCATTGCTGGCATGACTCATGGTAGTGCTCACCTTTTCTTCTTTGGAGAATCATGTTTCCAGATGTCCCAAACATTCTGAAGGGGGTTTCATCAGAGAAAACAACTTCACCCAAGTCCTCTACAGTCTGATCTCTATATATCCTGCAGAATGTCAGTCTGTCCTTCATGCTCTTCTTGGAGAGAAGCGGCTTCTTTGCTACCCTTCCTGACACCAAGCGCCATCCTTCAAAAGCCTTCATGTCACTGTGCCTCACTCACACCTGCCCTCTGCCTTTCCTGAGCAAGCTCAGCAATGGCGGTGACCCGACCTCGTTGCTGCGTTCTCTTTAGAGGAGATAGTCCTGACGCTTGCTTGACTTTCATGGGCGCCCTGAAGCCTTCTTCACTGCCCTTGATGCTCTTGATGGTTGGATAAATGGTTGATTGGGGTGCCATCTTACAAGCAGCAATGTTCTTTCAATTCAGCTGATCACTCTTCACAATCTATAGAGTTAATACAAATTTCCACCATAGAAACCGAGACGGCACACTTTGTAAAAAGCTAAATTTGTGCCATTCTCAAAATGTTTGGCCACGACTGTGCAGCGTGCGTCAATGCATTGCACACTCTTTACACCGCAGAGTCTGTGCGGTAATTGAGACCAACCCTAAAAGTTTGGAGTTTGCATACAAATGGTTGCATGCTAACTCAGTTGCACTACTTGCCCTTGAATGTGTTGTACGGTCATAGTCGATATAAAACACCACGTCGTATTACAGTGCAGCATCTTCTAAACGGGCCAGCTGCTGGCTCATCATCCGTGCAGTTGGGCTGAGACCCAACATCTCCCTGCAGCTGAGCTCAGCTCTGCACAGCGCAGCACAAAAACAAAGACAGCCATGATTTCTCCTGGCTGTTAGAATGCTCAAGCAGAGGCGATTTAAATCACCGAGTTGTCAATAGTTCAACCTGTCTTAACTGCATTTTCTAATACCTTGGAAAATTACAGAGAAGAACGAGGAAGCAAAACAATCTGAATCTTATCTCTGCACACGCTTCGTATCCATCCCTTAGACGATGACAATAAACTCCAGCTCATTAAACTTCTGCCCCCTTAAAGGTCCAACACTTTGACCTATTGCTCAAACAGGCTTTAAACGCCTGCGGGGCTTATCAGAATAAAAGCACTGAAGTATTTCTGTGTTTGGTACACAATGGACTTCCATGCTGATACTTCCTCCACACCTGGTCAGTGTCACAGCAGGAACTGTGAGCACATCCCAGCTCTGTTAGGTGTTTTACACTCACGCTGCAGGAAATGATCACATCAGAAAACTCCAGATATAGAAATGTATGATCAAGAGGAGGAAATGACAGAACCAAGCTTGTTGTCCAGATCCAGAGTATTCCAGAAAGACAAAGAAAAGTTTCTGACTGATCACGTGGCTGTCACTCTTGATGCTTCTGAGAGCTGTTTCTAACCCTCTGTGTTTAACGGTGTGTTACTTGTTTTATTTATTTACCCGGGACAAAGTGCAACAACCTGCAGCAGCAACATGTGGCTGTCTGCTGCTCCAGCTGTCAAACACAAAGAAACCAAAGGAAGAGGACTTCCTCCTCCTTTCCTGTCCGAAGTGTTGTTTTCACTCAATCAGACCAATTCAATCGAGCACAGCTCCAGATTTACCTGTTGATCTTCAGGGCGAAAGCCCGTCGCTCCGCCGAACCGAGAGAAGCCATCCGCGGGGCTGAAGTCCGAGCCTGGCGGGGTTCCGGTGCTTCCTCTCCCCCCTCCTCCTCCTCCTCCTCCTTCTCGCTGTCACCGCTCCTGTCCTCCTACAGCTCTGCTCCTGTCATGCCACCGCTCAGTTTAACGACAGCGACTGATCTGGGCGGAAACTTCCGCGTCTGCTTTGAGGCATCCCGTCCAGGGGGAGGAGGAGGAGGAGGAGAGAGGAGGAGAAAGGAGGGAGGAGGATAGGTGCACTCCCTCGCTGTGTTGTGAAGAGCCTCAACAGATACTCACTGTTTTTAATTAACTTTGTGTGTGTGGGGGGGGTCGCTGCAGGACCCGTGGTCCTCTTGGGGGCCAAAGTCCGGTCCTGGTGGAACGCCGTTAGTGGTTTGTTGTAAAGGTTAAGTTAAGGTCAGGCTACAGAACTGAATGAAAGTCTGTCCTAAAATGGGGACGGAAATTAACCTGTGTTGGGGGGGAGCCGGTGGGGGATGTGACCCTGGTGGGTCCATCATAGGTGTATCCCATTAAATTATTATTTTTTATCTTTTTAAATGATACTTTACTTTAAACTGGCAGCTGGGAACAGTGAAAGAGCTGGTTGGTGTGTTAGGCCTGCAAAGCTTCTGTACTGACCATGAACTGCTGGGTTGTTGGGTCGTAGGTTTAGTGTTTGAACAAATATTGAGTGAAATTGTTTGAGTTGTTTCTGTTTGCTCCAGTGAATGTCTTGTTGGTTCATATGTCATCATATTTTCTGATCCTTGTGCTGAACGGTACTCGATGACCATGTTTGTACCCTGTCTATCACACAGTGACTGCTGGATGTGGGCACAGTCCAGAAAGGAAGAAGCAGCTAAAGATAAAGAATGGATGGATGAATGATTTTGATATGGCAGGTTTTCTGCTAATAAATTTGTGTTATCTTTGGTCCTTTTATCCATTTAACTTAAGAAAAGGAAACAAATTGTGTTTTGCAACAAAATGTCTGAAATGTAAATTTAAAATAGGTTCTTTATAGGTTCTTCACGGGCTCATCAAAGTTAAAGTCCAAGTGCCTTAACAGACATGAAAACAGCAATTTTCTGGAAGCGATCCAACTGAAAATGAGTAAGCAGACTTTAAGAACTTTAAGAAACCCTGAAAACTATCGTTCAGATCATTTAAAACAAACACAAGTGCCTTCTTGGAAAGTATTGCATAAGAAGTTGAGTGAGCCAAGAGGCTGTTTGAAACTTTTGCACACTGTCACCAAAAGGTAAGAAGTTACATTCAGTCATGTTTTATCCCATTTAGCTTATACAAGACAGGGTCATGCAGTCACTTAAAGGATCATAAAATACAGATGCTTCCTCTTTTGTGTTAGCAGTGTTTTTAAGTTTAAGGACTGTATTGCACAATTGCTAATTAAATGTGTAAACCATTATTCTTCAGAATGTTACACATCAAACCAACAAATGATTTGATTTCTCTGTTAAGTAACATTCTGGGTTTGTATGCAAATTTTGCAGAATTTCAATACATTTCATTTTAGTACAAATTTTAGATTAAAACTTTGATCATTGTGTCGTTGTTTACAGCTATCAAAGGGTTTCTGACGCCCTCTGGTGGTTATTTTACATCATTGCATGTTTTAATGTATTTTTAGAAACAGAAAACAAAAATATCCCGTACATTTTTTGTAATTGTTTAATATATTTTAATGAAATAATTTAAGTCTTAGAAAAACCTTTATTGCAGTTGTTGTTTTGTAGTTTGTGCCTTAGCCAAAGTTAACGAAAGCGGAACAATTTTCGCAGCTTCAGGAGTTGACGGAATGAAGTCGGTGTGACACGCTGTCAGAAGCAACACGAATCGTTGAAAGCAGCCTTTGAAAACCTTTTCTCTTTAAAAGAACAGAGAAGGGATTTGTTAATGTTTTGGTAAATTAAAGAATTTGGACTTCTTTTTTCGGTTCCTGAAAGAGAACAGGTGAAAAGAGAACGTGTTCATTTTTGCTTAAAAAAGTCATATTTAACCTTCAGTCCGCGGCAGGTGAGTTCATGAATGAGCTTGAAACGAACTGCTTCTTTATTGTCTGTGTAAACAATGAAATGAAATGTGTTAACCTAGACAAAGTATTTTATTATTTAAAGCAGTGAGCTGTGTGCCTAATTTCATGTACAGTATTGTGCGGAAGGCTGGAGTTAAACCTCTTTTTTTGTTGTTTTTCTTCAATTAGCCAAACTTTTTAACGACTTAAGTCAGAGTCAGAGTTTCTTTATTGTCATTCGCACCTCATGTGGTACATGTGGTGGAGCGAAATTATGTACATAGGGTCCCAGTTACATCCAACAATAAAATGTATAAGAAAAACAATGATAACATCTAAGATATGAACTAAGAAAAACATCAACTAAATATACACTAAGCACTAATAGCATAAAAACATTACATTGAACATCAGCACAAACATGAACATGAGTCTGTGTGAGCAGATGAGCATGCATGAACACATCAACATTGAAACAGATCAGCAGCAGCATGAAACAGATCAGCAGCAACATGATGTGATGTTTTTTTCACAGTGATTATTCTTGTTAGAGATTCATGAGTCTAACAGCCTCAGGGTAGAAGCTGTTCCTCAGTCTAGTGGTTCTACACTTAATGCTCCTCAACCTCCTTCCTGAGGGGAGCGGGGAAAAAGTGTGTGCTGGGTGAGTGGGGTCCTTCACGATGCAGGTGGCTTTCTTCCTGCATCTGGAGGTGTAGATGTCTGTGATGGTGGAGAGGCTGACTCCAACAGTCTCCTGTGCAGCCTTCACCACTCTCTGCAGAGCTTTTCTTTCTGCAGCTGTGCAGCCTCCATGCCAAGTGATTCCTAAAGAGCTTTGAGCAAAATATGTTCTCACAGTACAAGGACTGGACAGAACACGAGCAAAAAATTAACTTAAGTCCAGAAGAAGAAGAAAAAACTTGGACCGATCTTTAGAAATCCTGAAGATTTATTGCTCTAGACCACTTTAAAAGATTACAAGGTTTGCCTCTCAAGTATAAAGAAGTTGAAGGTTTGAAACTTTTGCACTGTCACATTCTCACACAGAATTAAATAATGGAGGATGAAGACGCTTGTCCAGAGTTGGTCCCCATCAACACCCAGCCTGCCCCTCCAGTCCAGCAGATTCCAGTCACCATCATCACAGGCTACCTTGGTGAGATCTGTTTTTTATGTCTTCAGTGAGTTTAGAAAGACAACTAACATCTCAGGCAAACCAAGTGATCATTCACACAGGCTAATTTAATATAGAAGCATTGCTATAGTGTTATGTATATATTGCTATACAATGTTTCTTTAACAAAAAAAATAATTTGTGTGTTTTACAGGTGCTGGAAAGACTACACTTCTAAACTACATCCTGACAGAACAACACAACAAGCGAATTGCTGTCATTCTCAATGAATTTGGAGAAGGTGATAATGTTCAGACAAAACAGAAGTGACGTTTGTTCCGTCTGATTTTCTTCTAATCAAACAAGTGACGGTAGCTTTTTTTAGTTTGACCGATAGCGGTGCTGTCAGGTTAGTACCTGTTGACAGTTAACCTGCAGCTGAAGCTTATTGTAACAAAATGTTACAAGATAAAGAATACATGTCTATAAAGTGTAATTAAATCTACACATTTATCAGTTCCATTCAATTTATAGAATGAATTCACCACTTTATTCTTAATGTTTTTAAATAAATATAGATTTTTTTAGAGTGTAGGACATTTTATTTAAAAAGGACTACGTTTTTGTAAGTTCACTGTGTTATAGTTGCCTTCCATCTTCATCCTCTTCCTGCAGGCAGCGCTCTTGAGAAGTCCCTTGCAGTGAGTCAGGCAGGAGAGCTGTATGAGGAGTGGCTGGAGTTGAGAAATGGCTGCCTTTGTTGCTCTGTCAAGTATGTGCTCGAACTACAGTCCATTTAACGTTACAACGTTTTAACCTTTCCATTTTAGACAACATTTCAAATAAAAGCTTTATGTTGTCCTCATTTTTTGTTTTGTTTTTGCAGAGACAACGGCCTTAAAGCCATTGAAAACCTGATGGAGAAGAAAGGAAAGTTTGACTATATCTTGTTAGAAACCACTGGACTTGCTGATCCAGGTAATATATACATCAGCAGATTTAGAACAAGTCCTTTGTTGCATTATTATTTGTTCAGATTTTGGCTTTGGAAGTAAATGTGGATATTTTGTGCTACCTGTGCCTTGACGATCTGCTGGAGCATTAAAGTTGGCCTTTAAGACAGAAAGCGAGACAGTAATGAAACATGATCCTAATCTGCTAGTTAAAATCTTCTTACAGGCAATTACGATGTTTTATTTCTGGTTAGGGTGGCACGGTGGCTCAGTTGGTTGAGCCACCGTGAGTGAGGTGTTGCCTCTCAGCGAGAAGGTCACCAGATCAAATGTGGCTGGGGATGGATGGAGTTTGTGCATGCGTGGGTTTTCTATGGGTACTCTGGTTTCCTCCCACAGGCTAAAAACACGCATGTTAGGCTGATTAGTAACTCTAAATTGTCCCTAGGTGTGAGTGAGAGTGTGAATGTTTTTTTTTTTTGTCTTGTCTCAATATGTCCTTATGATGAACTGAGACCTGTCCAGGGTGGATGGGTAGATGTTTGTTTGTTTGTTTGTTTGTTTGTAAGATTAGTTTAAAATAAAGAAGGTGGTCATAAGAGCTGATGATTAGATGTGCATTGAACATGGCATTGTTGATTTACTAAAGTGGATATGAAATGTGACGCACATTATGGTGCATTTAGTTCAGGCATATATAGTTACAATTACTTATGGTATGTAAAACTAGATCCTACATCAATTATGGGATTTTTAGCCCTTATAAGGTATTAAAAAGAGGTGAGTCCATTGCCATTTAAACAATGACACGACGTCATGCAACAAGGCTCGGGCTGAAATAAGGACAACTATCAGGACGACAGTCTCTAACTTGGCAGCACATTTACAACAGAATGCTTGGAATAAGAAACCAAAAAGTCAAAGTTCACACCTGAACACGAATGAAATGCTGTGGTGAGATCCTAAATGAAGCCCTGCTCATCTTCAACTAAAGCAGTGTTGTAGAGAAGAGTGGTATCTACAGAGTGGTCTGAGAGAATAATGAAGTCAGACAAAAGACGATTCCTTCAAGTTAGTCCTTAACCGCGAACCATGCAGTTTTCCACACACTGCTGCATTTTGGAACACTTCTTAATTATTAATAGATTAAACACAATAACTCATTATTTACCTTATTTCAAAACCTTACAGAGATCAAACGAATGTCTAAAAATGATACATGAAATCTTGTAAATAAATGAGATGCGTTGACTTTTTCTTGTCTTTGGGTGTCTGAATGGTTAACGCCTGTGTAAAACTCACATCAGATGTTGGACAGTTTGTAACCAGCTGAAGATCAGACGTGTGTTGCCGTGACAGAAACATCAAGAGCTAGCCTGAAAAATCCACCCACCATCATCTCTTGGGTGTGGATCGGAAAACCAGTATCAGACTATCAGCGATTACAGACCGAGCGGTGTGACGATGGTGATGTGTTGCTAAGTGACAGGTGTCAGGAAGTAGCGACACACACACACACACACACACCTCAGCCTCAGCCAGAATAAACGGAGAACACTCAGACCAGGGAGCTGAACTCACCCCTCTCACACGTCACTGGCCAGTTATCGACCAGGACAGGGCTGTCAATCATAAAGGCTCCCAGGAGGATTCTTCTGTTTCTGTCCAGAAAGAGGTTGGACTCGTCATGTGATAGATGCCACTCAAAAACTGTTTTCATTACAAAGCCATCAAATATTTACATTTCTTTCTTTTTATCGCTCGGTAATTTGACAAAAGTGCATTACGTGTGTGCGCTGTGGGTGCCATGGCAACAGAGGGCCTTTATAACCTTTTTCTAAGCAAGATGAAAACGAACCAAATGTGGACATAAACACTTTAATGCTTCGAATATTGTTTTTAATGAGCTCCAAACAACTTTACATAAGAAGAAAGAAGAAAGACCTGGTTGCGTCAAAACGTGCGCCCGGTGTAAAACAAATGTCGGGTCTTTCCTGCGAGTTTTCTCACTGATGGGGCGACTCCTGCTTGAGGGAGCAGCTCGATAAAAACAACGGCAGCAAATGAATAAATGTCAACTAAACTTTTATCATTTTGAAGTAACAACTAAACTGAACTGAACTTTTTGTTTTACAGTATTTCTAACAATTTGCTGTGTTTAAATTGTAAATTTCAATTTCGTTTGGTTTTAAGCATTTTGGCAACAAATAGAAACTCCCACCCTGCAAGACATTCTAATGTTTTATGACAGTTTAACATTATTTTATACCATTTTATTCAGTAACACGCTATTATTTTGGGCCGGCAATTGAACTTATTGACTATAATAGTTATAAATTCTGTGTTTTGACAAAATATCTATAATTTCACACGTTAAATCTGCATGTTACTTTTTTCTTTGCAAAATAATTGTAATACAGTATATGTCAATTGTGTAATTTTATTTTTAAAGAAAAAGTGAATAAATTCAATAATTTGTTCTTCGTCATGTCTAATAATTGTGTCTCTCTTGGATGCTCACTATGTTTGGAGTGAAATGAAATCAAGACTTGTTTTTTCAGGAGCCGTGGCCTCGATGTTTTGGGTCGACGCCGAGCTCGGCAGCGACATCTATCTGGACGGTAAGAATGTGACGAGATTATTATCCTTGATTTTTTTCCTGTTTAAATGCTTCTTTTTCATTTTTTTTTTAAGATGAGTTAAATGAAAATTCCAGCATCACTTTAAACTTTCCAAACTGAGGACCTGAACAGGTCTAGTAGTTGTAATTTTATTGTACTAGACAGTAGACTAGACATTTGGTTCAGAATTGTAACCTATAATTAAGTACAATCTCATTTTCTTTCCTAAACCTGTTAAACCTCCAGTTGCTGTAAAATTTAGAGAATACATGACATCCTTTTTTGGCCTTTTTTGTAGTTACATCATAGCTGTTATTGCCTGATACCATGCAAGGTGAATGGGGGGGGTTTCCTGTTAGCAAAAAATCTCATAAACCAGTGATTGGTTTCAGTGAAACTCTGAATGTAATTCCTGATGCTTAACATTTGAAGTCAAATCAGTTCAAGGTGGTCTTCACAGATTTTACCTTAGCAAACACAAAACAGCTATAACTCTGTCAATTTGACAGAAAATCAACTGAAATTTGTTGTTCAAGCTGAAAGTCATTCCAAACAAATGCTCCAAGATCTGCCAGACTAAGTATTTTGTTGAAGACTTGGTCATGCAAGCCAGCAGGCGATCTACGCTCCTTCAAGCAATGCTGGTTTCATTTCTTGTTTGTTTATTTTCCTGCTGTAGTGGAATGTGTGTAATTTAATAAACCACGCTCGGCTGCTCCTCACACTAAATGCTCAGCTGTTTTTTCTGTTATGACAGGCTGGTTTACCAAAAGTGCTCCTCGAAGAAAATAACTCGAACACAACTGAACGCCGAAAGGCAACTTGCATTCAGAGCAGAATGGACACAAACTGAGGGACTTCTTTCCATGCTTTAATAGTGTGAATCCTTGTGAAGCATTCACACTATTGTGATCCTTTTTTTTTTTTCCCCATCCATTTTTCGGTGTGTTTCTTGTCCTGCAGTTTTCAAGCTATTTCAACAGATAAATCAAAACGTTCAGCTCTTTCAGGACAGTCCTGCGATGACTTTTGGTACTGGTGCAACTTTAGCTTTTTGCCTTTTCTGCCATTTTTTCCTCATAGAAAATTATTTGAGCTCATTTTACATCCTTCAAATCTTTAGATCTGTTTACAACTTTTTACTGCTCCTTTCACATTTTGTTCTGCTTCTTTCAGCTTCCTTGTGCAAATTTAAACCTGTTTTCAGCTAATTTCAGCTGTTTCTTCAGTTGTTTTGTGCTCCTTTCAGATTCTTTCTGCTATCTACAACATGTTTGTGCTTCTTCTAACTTCTTTCTGCTAATTTCAGTTTGTTATGCTCCTTTCAGCTTATTTCTGCAAACTTCTGCATTTTGCTATTTCAGCTAGCTGTTTTATGCTAATTTTAGTCTTTTCAACTAATTCCACATATTTTGCACTCGTTTTAACTTTTTTCAGCCTAATTCAGCAAAAAATGTGCTTTTGGTAATTTAAGCTACTTTCTGCTTTTTTAACTACTTTTCAGCTGTTTTTTTTTTTTTTTTCTAATTCCAGCTTTTCCAGATAATTTCCAGTATTTTGGGTATTTTACATTCAGCTTAATGGGGCAAAATTGTGCTCTCTTCCTTCTGCTGATTTAAGCTTGTTCTACCTTTTCAGCTAACTTTTCAGCATTTCTTAGCTAATTTCAGCTGTTTTCAGATAAATTCAAGTTTTTGTGGTAATTTCTGCAACTTGCAACCTAATTAACTTCTTTCTACTAATTTCAGCTTGTTAATGTTCAGTTCATTTCTTCTAGTTTCAGCATTTTCTGCTATTTCAGCTACTATTTAGCTGTTTTTGTGTTAAATTTAGCTTTTTCAGCCAATTCCACATTTTTTAGCTCATTTCAACTCTTCACTTTCTTTTTGTTGGTTAAGCTTCTTTATGCGTTTTCAGCTACGTACCTTTCAGCTAATTTTAGCTAGTTTCAGCTTTTTAGATAATTTCCTAATTTTTGGCCTTGTTACTGCTTATTTAAACCCAATTCAGCAAATATGTGTTCTTTGCGTTCTTCTGCTAACTTGGACTTGTTCTTCCATTTCAGCTACATTTCAGCATGTTTTTAGCTCATTTCAGCAGTTTTTCAGCAAGTTCTTCAACAATAAGCATTCGCACTGTTTTCACAGGAAATGCATTTTCTCTAGTTTAACTTTTGTTGTTCTGCCTCAGGTATTGTGACCGTCATTGATGCTAAATATGGGCTGCAGGTATGTGTAAAGAATATATTTTAAAAGTTACTTTTTTGAGTTTTAAAAGACTTATTGGTGGAACACTAAAGACATTTGAGGAAGCTTCATTTCAAGGATAAAAACGAAAAGTTCACTTCATTTTAGTTATTTCACTTCATCATTTGATTCAACTGTTTCATTGCAGTGTGGTTGATTTGCACAAAAGATACATTTTATTTGAATTAAACATCTTTTAAAAGTTTAAAAAGTCTTTTAAGTTAGTGATATTTTTGTATAAGCACAGTGAGTAAACACCCTGCGATCTTTGTGGTGCCATAAAGGAGTTGGACATGTGACACTCAGATAATGGCTTGTCATGTGGTCGTGTCGTGCTCAGTGAAGCGAGAAGTTTGATGGCGTTTGAGCTCTTCTGTCCTCAGAGGGACGTCCTGACAGAAAGAAGGGGAGGGTGTCACTTATTTTCATGGAGTAATTGAAATCAGGGATGTGTAATGGGACTGTCACATCCACTCACCTGACTCCTCGCTAGCCTGTCTTCTAAAATACATCTGTCTAAAAATATATCAGTTTTACACCTGCCCTCTCTTGTTCTCACCATCTAAAAGAAAATAAATTGTATTAACTGTTATTAAATATTTTGTTGGCACAAAGCTGTGGTGATCCAGGAGGTGATGTCAGATTGACACTCGGGGGGTCTGGGTCCAGATTAACGCCTCCATTCTGTCTGTTCTGACGTATTAAAGTGTTTAGAAATGCTGCTCCTGCTCAGCTGGAAAATGAAGAAAGCTCTCCTGAGAGTTTTTGTGTTAAAACATTGAATATGTTTTTTTTTAAAAATGGAATATGTGCTTCTCTTTCGTCATTATATCAAAATTTTAGAGCCTGGTAAAAACCATTGCCCTGACCTTTTTTAAGTTTTTGCCAACAATAAACAACAAAACAACTAAAAATATGGCTTGTCAATAACAGTCTAAGTACCGTAGGTAGAATCCAAACCTGGATTTAGAGGAAAAATTTGTTTAAATTCGCTCAAGTTCGGCTCCTCATCAGAAACGCTCAGAAGAAAAAGGCAAAAGCAATCGCACCAGAACTCATTGGAATGGATTTTTGTTCAACTTACAGGTTCACCCAGGTGTCATGGTCACAATAAAAACAGAGCAGTATCCAGATCTAAACAGAGCCACTTGAATCCAGGCCTAAAAGTATTAAACACACTTCTGAAAACAAACTAAAAAAAAAAAAAAAGAATCTCAAAACGAGGAGTGGCAGAAGATTTTCAGATTCTCCACACGCCGTAACTTCAGTCACCATTTTGTTAATAAAAACTGACTTTCTTCTGTTTTTTTTTTTGTTTTGTTTTTTTGTTTTTTGGTTTGTGTAACATAAATTATACCCAAGGCAACATCTGTTTTATTTAAACAACAACAACAAAAATCTGAAGGGGAACAAAAAAAAAGATGGGGGAGAGAAAAGTGAAATAAGCATAGAGAGGAAGGCGAGACGGTAAAAACATATGCAGGAGTTTTAAGAGCTGGTTGCAGGAATCTCAGCGATCTTTCTGATGTGGGTTTAGCAGGTTTCGGTCTCTAACCGGGTCAGATCAGAAACTGATGGCTTTATTCTGAGATGACGGGCGTGGGTGGAGAATGGGTCAGGCACGTAAGAGAGAAAAACACTTTGAAGCATCGATCTCCTTCCTGATTTTTAGAGAAAAGTGATTTCTGAAAATGAACGCTCCATTCCAAAAAAAACTAGAAAAATATGAATGAAGCCTTGTCCTTTAAAATAAAAAAGTTTATGATTTATTAATGTTGAATTTGTTTTATTATGCAGAGTGTGTAACTTATTCCCATAATAATTGTTTTTATAGCAACTGAAAGAGGAAAAAGCAGAAGGACTTCTCAATGAAGCAGCCAGGTATGACTATCAGATGTTTTTAATGATTCTTTTTACACTTTTATGAAATAAACTGATACGAAACATTTAGCCAGTACTTTAAATGTGTTTTCTCAAAAAGCCAAGCTGACGTTCCAGAACATGTATCAGAAAGCTGTGCCATTTGTCCATGTGTGTGTCTGTTTGTGTCTTCCAGCAGACGTGTTGCTGCTGAACAAATACACAGATGGAAACAAAACGACCTTTAGCAATCTTTCACTTTATTTGTGTTTTCGCCTATGACCTAAACGACCCTCCTCAATAAGACTCGTCTGTTTAGAAGCAACTGTGTGTGTTTTAGTAATTTGATGCTGCAAATTAATTCCAATTTTAGAAGTATGTTCTTGTGTCTTTTTATTTAACGTATTTTCTGGCGTATAAGTCGCCGTTTTTTGCACAAGTTTGTCAGTCCTGCAACTTATACTCCGAAACGACTTATATACGGGGTTGTTGTTTTCCCCATTTTCATAAAGCAAATTTTGACTGATGCTTTAAATTTCGAAGAACTGCAACATCGAGTCCTTCCACACTCACTAGCTTCAATCAGCTGGTGTAGGCGGAGGAACGCTGGAGAGCTAGCGGCTCTGGTGGGAAGGATGGATGGAGGGATGGATGGATGGATGGAGGGATGGATGGCACCACCCAGGCGAAATGAAGCTGTTTAAAGTGCATTTATTAAGGAAAAATTAAACTCAGACACACCTTTGCTATAATGTCGAGCAAACAAATAATTGTTTTTAAGTGTTAATCTCGTTATATTTCAAAGAACTTTAACAGCGAGTCCTTCCATACTTGCTCGCTTCACTCAGCTGGTACAGGTGGAGGAACACTGGAGAGCTAGAGGCTTCGGCCACGATGGATGGATGGATGGATGGATGGATGGATGGATGGATGGATGGAT